TTATGAACTTGAACCTCTTAAAATTAAGAAGAGTATGCGTAACTAACTTTTTGAAATAAGGAGATATTGTACGGTTAGTTTCTAAAGAAAAGAGACATGTTCTCTTTTAAACTCTCTCAAGCAACTCTCAAAATTCCAACTTTGAACTGCTTTCTTGAATGATAAATTTCTTTTTTTTTTTTAATTTTAAGTAGCTTTAAAAGTCTTGAATTTTTCAATTGCTTGTTTTTTCTTTTACCATTTTTAATAAGTTCTTTAAAGTGTTAAATCTCTAAAATTGAAAATTTTTGGTTCAGCTAAGTCTTCTTGAAAATAAAAAGTTGAAAGTCTTCTAGAAAGCATTTTTCAAGTTGGAATAGATCTTATTCTTTTTTTAAGACTTCTTAGAGTTTACATTCAAGTAAGACTTATTTTGAAAAGAAAAAAAAATCAATTTTGAATTTAAATATCATGTCCATGCCACCTCATATTTAAAAGTCTTTATATATCCATACAAATCCTATCTTAGTGGGAATATATGCATTCAAATAAAGATAGGAATTTCATGTCAATGTAGGAAAACCAAGGGTTGTTTGGACTTTTCTAATTATGGATAGAATCGCTAAGTCATTATGCCACATAAGCCTCTAAGTCATTATCTTGGCCAATAAAAAAAAACTTGTTGCCACATCATCCATTTATAATTCTATTCATGCACACCTACATAAGCTATCACGAACTTGTATTAAGCTTTAAATTACAAATATAACCTTAATCATAATCGAACACGCATTTCTTGATTCTTGCTTGAATTTTTTGAATTTTTCACCAAAATTGAACAATTCTAACTACCCTAGGTTTAGCTAAGAAATTCTTGCACAATTTTTACACTTTCATTCCAAGATTTCGAAGATTCAATAAGAACACATAAAAAATAATTTAAGATTCATTTTAATGTATCAAGAATCATCCAAGATTGATCAAGAACTTTCAAGATTCAATTTTTCTTTCAAAATTTCCTACAAAATAGTAAATTAAGCATATTAGGAGTAAAAGGATCATTATTTTACCAACAACTAAGTAAAATTCCTTCCTTTAAACACTAAAAACAAATCCAAATAACTTTATTTTACAGGGTTATCACAAAGCTTCTTTGTTTAGCTCCTATATAATGCTTTTATTGTAGGCTTGACATATTCAATAGATTTAATGTGAAATTCTTGTCATCTCTTATAACTGAATGGGTTATGTCGTGCACATTCGATTACAATTCATATTGACTCACACCACTTTCATTAACATTATTAGAGCTAATATCCATGCTAGCGACCTCATGAAAAACCTATTTTTATTGAACATATTAATTATAACATAACATTAATCAAACATAGGTTAGGTTATAACGTGTCTTCTTTGACTTGATCAATTTGATCCATACAACAAAAAAAAAACCATGGTGCTTGCCATTAGATTCAAATGTTTTCTTAATCTACTCACCTTTATTCTTTTTTTTTTACACCTATTGTGTCTTGATCAAAGGCATCCATAGCATACAAAGGCAAAACAAAAAAAGTTTAAAAAATTAAGCCATCAATTAGGGTCAAACAATTATTATACCTTCTGCAAATCAAACAAAAAACAGGAACATGTAAACAACATAAGTTAAAAAAATTGCTAAATGCAAATTCAGATTGGCAACGAACAACAAAAACCTAAACTAAACATAAATTGAATATGAATAAATGACTTATGCAATTTAAAAGAAAGAACATGAAAAGAAATAGTAACAGCAAAAGTTAAAACCATCACCTATTGAACTAAATGTTGCTTGAGAGTTTAGATGAAAATAGTTGTACAGCCAAAATCAAAGTAAGCAACCTACCAAAACAAACATAGTTTGCAAGTTTAGTTAACATGTTATAAGAGAAAAAAGTTATGACAAAAAAATTACCCCATAATAAGAGTCACATAAATAACAAAAAAAATAAATCAAAACCTAAAACATAATGATAAAGGAAAAACAAAAAACAAATTAAAATTGGGATTGTTTGGAAAAAACAAAGGAAAAATTCAATTAAGCATATAATGAAAACTAATAAAAATCAAAGCATTATTAATCCAAAGAAAACAGAATAAAATGAAAAGCAAAAGCTTAAAGTTCAACCAAGCAGCTGAACATAAATTCTTTGAATATTAACCTAAAACCAATAAATGTTCATGAAGTGCAACCAAACAGCTAAACATAAATTCCCTGAATGCCAACCTAAAACCAACAAATATTCATGAACAATAAGAAGTATGAATATAATAAAAAAGTAAACCCATAAGATAACATAATACCAAGCTAAAGACACAAGAAAAGAAAAAGAAGAAAAAGAAATGGCATTATAAAAAAAGTAAAGAAAAGAGAAAAAATAAGAAAAAATTTTAGAAATAATTTGAATCATCACACACATATTCTGATAGGTAGATACCTAGATATGTGAAACTTTCATATCACATAACTAAATTGTAATAGTTTTCTGTTACAACCAAAACTAAACTAACTTTTATGTTTTTCAATGGTAAAAGCTAAATGTACAAAATAAATTGGGTTTAACCTAAAAAAATTGCAACATTGGCTGAGGTATAAACCACCTAACACTACTTTTCCCTTTTGCACCAACCTTAAATGACAAAAGTTTTATTTATGTAAAAAAAAAGCAAGCATAAATAATAAATAAATAAAAATAAACACACATTTATTTTTCATTATATTTTATATATTAGAGATATATAAAATGTATATGTATAATAATCATTAAAAACTAACAAATATATATCACAATTAAAGTTCAAAAGAAAAATAAACATCCATTAAATTAACCAAAATTTAGTTTAAATGCAATCATAAATTTGCAAAATCAACCAAGAATCAGTTTAAATGAACCATAAACTTGCAAATTTCATGTTATCATGATGGGTTTTCACTACCTCGACCTTTGTCTTCTTTTTCATGCTAAAACCAACTCCGAAACGCCTTTCACTTTTTTTCTTTTTGGTCAATAACATATTTCTCGACACCATTGAATATGCATACAGTTGGGAAAAAAATTTGATGTTTATTATCAGCATCTTTAAATTTCTATGATTATATAACATTAGCAAGAAATTTAAAGGTTAAAAAAGCTAAGAAGAAGAAACAAATGAGGAAGAACAAAAAGGAAAAAGGTTGAGTTTTAAGAAGCCAAAAAGAGAAATTTTGTTGCTGTGAAGATTGAAATAGAAAAAATTAAGTAGGAATTTTATTTCTCGATCCTAACAAAAGAAATAATTAATGCAAATTTTATTACGATAGAAACCATGAAATTGGTTTTTCGACAATAACATATTAGAAGCAAAAGGGAGAAAGGAAGGCAAAACTGCTATTGTTGAAATAAACAAAAACATGTGTAAGTTAATTAATCATTAAGAGGTGTCAATACAAAATTGAATCAAGCAATATTACTTTGATCTATAAATATGTGTCAACCTGAATTTGAGTTAAGAGAGACTATAGAAACCACAAAATTGGTGTTTTGGCAATAACATACAAGAAGGAAAAGGGAGGAAGGAAGGCAAAATTGTTGTTGTTGGCAAAAATAAAAACACGTGTCAGCCTAAATTTGAATCAAAAGAGATGCCAAACTAAAATTGAATCAATAGATATTACTTTAATCTATGAATAGGTGTTAACCTAAATTTGAATCAAAAGAGACTATTTTTATCTATTTTATATATTTTAGGGTAAATTATTTTCACGGTCCTTAAATTTTGAGGTGAGTATCGTTTTGATCCATAAACTTTTAAAAGTAATATATTGGTTTTTATACTTTGATGGTTCTTACAAAATGGTCTTTCCATTAGTCAAATTGTTAGTTGAATCGTGAAATGAAAAGATAAAAAAAAAAATTACAAAATAAGATAATAGATTGATAATAATATAAGTTTAAGGTTAAGAGATAAAATAACTATAAAAGTAATAAAAGTTTGATAAAATTTATTTTTATAAATATTAATTCTTATGTAATTTAATTATTATTTTTATGATTCTAATTTTTAAATTAATTAATATTTTTATTTTTCAAAATTTTTTTTGCTAAATTACAATTAGACTTACCCATAAATTTAGCTGTGAATAAAGTCTACAAACTAATCTCGATTTGAACCGAGTTTTGAATATAATTTCTAAAATCTAAGCTTGACCTAATTAAATTATTATTTTATTAATAAAATATTTTTATTTAATTTGTATTTTAAAATATATTTAAAAAATTAAAATATTAGTATAAAAATATTTTTTAATATTTTAATTTTTAATAGTAAAATAAGCCTATTCAGATTTTAATAAAAGAGTCAAATTGGGTCTTGAACAAAAATTTGAAACTATCATTCAAATTTGGTTCAACTAATAAAATTCTCTAATTTCGATCAAATAATTAAATAGATTATTTTTTATTAATAAGTAATAGTGTGAAATTTATAATATTTCATTGAAATTTGTATATTAATATTTTGTAACTAAAAAAATTGATTTTTGAAGAAATATTTTATGATAATGAAATATTATAAAATAATAAAAAATATACAATGAAATATTTTATGGTGATTTATAATCTAATTATATGTTTTAAACAACTAATAAATAAATTTGAAGAAAATTAGGTAATTTTCACTTTTAAGATACACATTTTTTTCTATCTTAAAGTTGAATCTAAAATAATTTTACTAACAAAATTAGGGATAAAAATATAATTTTATTTTTATATAATTATCAAAATTACTAGTATTAAGTATCAATTTTTTTTAATAATTTTAACATTTAACGGTTTAACTAATGACTTCATTAATAAAAGAACTTATTTTTTATAACCATTAAAATATAATAATCAATATGTTATTTTTTAAAATTTAAGAATTAAAACGATGCTCCTCTTAAATTTTATAGATCGTAAAGGTAATGTACTCTATATCTTATTAATTAGAAATATTATAGGAGTTAACTATAAAAAAGGTGTTATATAAGCAGTACCAGTATAAACAGGGGAATCGGCCAAGGGAAGGAAAATGACGAAGATGGGGAAATGGTTGACAATAGGGGCGTTGGTGGGTGCAATAGCTATAGCCAAGCAATATGGAGGGGCATTTGGATTGGGATTCGACAAAGACGCCGCTCTCCGCTTGTTCCAGCAATGGTCGGATCGATTGGGGATTTGGGCCATCCCTCTTTACGTTGCCCTCCACACCCTCACTCTTTCCCTCTGCTTGCCTTACGCCGTCTTCTTCGAGGCTGGGGCTTCTTTGCTCTTCGGCTTCTTCCCTGCCGTCCTCTGCGTCTTCTCCGCTAAGCTTCTTGGGGCTTCACTCTCCTTCTGGATTGGCAGGTCCATCTCTACACTCCCTTATTCCAATTTATTCATAATGAATGAATTATACCGTTCTAATATTAACCATTAGTTGGTTGCTGGCATTGGCGGTCTGTATTTTCTTTAGTTCCATTTGTGTTCTGTTGAACTTTAACCTTTCTGATTTTCTTTCAACAACACTGTTTGCTTCCAGATTCCTGTTGGTTATCATTCTCTTAAAGCAATTATCCTCTTATCTTTTTGAATGAATTGAATACTTTTTGTTAAACAAATGGATTTCAGTTGCGAGAGTCAAGTGACATACTGTTCCACACCACCATATCAAAATAAGGTTTCCAATAACATAGGATCAAAGTTGGTCAACCTTTTCCAATGTTTATCTAAAATAAGATTTTCACTTGTGTCAATATTGACATTATCTTTGCATCTATTTTAGTATCCATTATCACTGCATCTTAGTTGGTCAACCTTTGCCATTGCATATCTAAAATAAGATTTTCACTTGTGTCCATATTGACACGATCTTTGCTGGTTTTTTCACTCCAAGAATATCAGCAATGTTGGACTTCTATGTGTTTAGCTTCATGCTAGTATTTTGATCTGAAATTCTTGATGAAGTAGAGAAAATTGACACGTGGAAATAGAAGATGGAGATGAAATTCCCAATTTTCATGCCTAGGGTTCCATAGTATTGACGCCTAAGGTTGATTGCATTACACAATTACAAGAGCAATAATACTTGAAATTCTGTAATAATATTTTGTATCTGATAGAAAGAGTGCATTGGTATTCTTTTAGACTCCAAGAATCATAATCCATTAGAACTATCAATTCTATTCTCATAAAGACTTTAGCAAACACTTTAGCTTCAAATATAGAATTAATAAACTTAACTTAAAACAAAACATAAAAGCATTATGAAAACCTAAATTAGATCCTAGATTCTATTATTAAGGTAAAATACCAAAAATAGCCCTAAAACCTTGATACTTGGAAATAAGCCAAACCTTTTCTTAAATAAAATGGCTACAGTAAGCCTATAAAATACAAAAAGTATCTACTTGCATCTCATTCTTGAATCACTTGTAATAATGAAGTCCATAAGAAATTTTCCTTGAATGCCATAGGCTCTCGAGAATCTTAAGCATAAAGTCAATAGAAGATCTTTGCTAGGCAGCAACTCATTGAACTCTCCTCTTTCTTAGACCATTCCAAACTCAATTTGCAACATTTCAAGTCCAACTTGTATAATCTCTACAATAGTTACTAGGATCACTTCTACCTGCTGGATCCGTGATCCAATTTGTACGTCCCAGATCACTGGTCTTTTATGTCCTAGACTGCTTGGCTACGCAACTTGGATCACCACAATCGTGGACCCAAATTGATGGGTGAATTAGAAAGCAAGAAGTTCAAAGTAAGAGAAGAAAGAAGAAAGAGTTGGAATGGAGAAACAACGAAGAGAGAAGGGGAAAAGGATGTTTTGATATGTAAAAATGGATGATAAAAAATGTTAAAACAGAAAAAGAATGGAAGAACCTGGAAACTCAAAGATTGGTTCCTGATAAAAAAAGATCACAATTTGGGTTCTTCACCATAAAGTAGGCATGTGACAACTTTAAAAATTGGCATGATTTAGAATTTTAATGTATATTACATGTTAAGCGGAAAAATTTTCGTTTTAGGCTTATTAATTATTGTTGGTCAATTTAATTGCTGTATTCATTTTCAATATTTCCTTAATTTATTGGTAATTAAAATAAATTGACTGACATAATATTTGGAGAATGAAGAGGGAAGAAAACTACTATAATAAAAGTTAACTATAGTTATTTCTTCTCTTTGAAGAAAGAAATTTATATAAAAAAAAAAACACTTTGAAAGTATTATTCATTGTTATTTTCTGACAATCATAAAAATTTTTATTATAAAATATCTATAAACTTATATGATCAAACTAAAATATACTTGTGTAATTATAAAAAAAAAGAAAACACCTATATTCTTTTAAAAGTAATGTGATCTTTAGAACATTTTAGACCGAATCACAACCCAATAAAACAAACTGATGAAGACTACCTTATCGTACCATAAATATTTAACTTATGCACTCTGTCCCTGAACCCATAACACAATTTGGTACATACCATGTTCCTGGTAACTATGATTTCACCACATTGGTTCAAAACTTGGGTGTACCTCCAGTTTTTCAAGTGGACTTGTTGCCCTCTGGCTCTTCAGCCTTCAATTTTACAATAGCATTCTTCTTTCCATCCTCAAGGATGTCAACAATTGATGAAAGTGTTTCTTTAGTCCCAAAACCTCTTGAATTTCCTCTACAATAACATCAGACTTCTGGTTGTGGTCTTATCTTCAAACTTGTCATCAGTCTGAAACTTACTTTCAACAAATCACAAGAGCAAGAATAAGACCATGAAGCCATATTTTCTTGCAATTCCTCCTCATTCTAGATAGGCTATTTAATCAACTCCTTTTGATTTCATCCCTCAAATCAGCTGTGTTTCTAGCTTCTGCAAGGACAGTGTCTACCACAAACACTTCTAACCGTGAAGGCATCAAATCTTTGTACATACTCAGCCACTAATGTATTGCTTTTTTCAAAGTATGAACTTCGTTGCACTTGTCAAAATAATCAGGTGGCATATATTTTCTTTTAATTTTTGCTTTCATCTTATTCCATTTACTAATTTTGGCCATCCTAACCTGGTTATGTTTTGTACAACATCATGCAGCCAATTTTTGTCAACCGAATAAGTTTCATCTTTTCAAATTTAACCCAGCATCCAACATGTTATACCAATCAAAATTCTTTCATTGAATCGAGCCAATTAGAAATACTGTAGGATCAACTTCCCCTCAAAATGTGGAATTCCTATCTTGATTTTCTTAGTAACATCTCCAGTTGTATCTTTTTGCTTCTTGCCTTTTTCCAACCACTCGATGATCCTAGGCAGCTGAGTGTCCTGCCCTCTAGGAAGGCTTTTATTTGTTGCTGCTTAAGCAAGTTGTTTACGTTAGGCGTAGAATTTTTCTAACCCATCTTCAATCTTGGGCATCAATCTTGCTTCTAAATGCTGAGTGAAGCCACATCCCCCCTCAATTGCTATAGATATTTCATTTTTTTTTATTATTATTTTTTTGTTTCCTCATGATCTTGATAAAGAGCTTTAGCCTTTGAATTTGGCTTTGCAGTAGTCACCATTGTTAACCAGAATTACAGCAGTGTTTTGATCTTTAAACTATAATACCAAACTGATGTAGGACAGCTAGCTGGTTAATTTTGTGATAGTTTTCTGATTTGAAATTCTTGAGAAAACTGAGAAAAATGAATAAAGAAAATAGAAAAGAAGTCTTTAAGCTTTATAGTAAGGTTCGATCGCACCTAATATAAATGCAAAAATATCAAAAGGGGCCCAACAGTCCTAATTCTTGGAAAATAAGCAAAACGCTAATTGATGTAAAGTATCCGAACAAGTTCAAAATCTTAAATCTAGAAAATTACAATTGAGCCTATTAAATGCAAGTAATAAATTGAAATCTCGAGTAGCTTAATTCCTGAATTAACTTGTTTGAATTATGCACCAACAAGTCATTCAAAACTTGATTACTGGTTTAATGTACTGGAAAAATTTCTGATTCAATAGATTGATTAAACCCGAATGTTAGGGTTTCAAATTCAAGAGCTGTGAAAAGAAAATTCCTTTAGATAGTTATGTGATGTTAGGGTATGGTGGTGGGATATTAAAAATAAGAAGTCTGCCCAGGATTTATGGTGGGATGTTAAAAATAAGGGATTTTAGGGAATTTGGCTATGGTAGAACACGAGTTAGGGATAGGATTTTAAACTTTGATGTGGTTGAAACTTGATCTCAAATGAAGGCTATTATTATGCAGAATGGTTGCTGAAATTTCTGGACAACGGTGAAACTAAATGAAATGAAAGTGTTAATGGATGCTGTGGTGCTACAAATGGTAACCTGAGACCTTGTAGCAAAAAAGAAGGGTTAAGGAAAAACTAAATTACTCAATCACAAATTGTTCAAGAAATCTCAATTTCTCAATTGGTATAAACTGCCTGGTGATTAATTTGCAAGAAGAGACTTGGTTTGGAGGAAAGAGAATGAATAGGGAAACAAGGTAGAATAATAAGGGGCCTTAATCCTATTACTAGAAAAGGGGCTTTTGGGATTGTTCTCATAAGAAATATTTAAACTCAAAAAAACAATTTTTTTCCGGTCAACATTTTTTAATTTATTAAATGCCACCAAAGTTCCATCTCATTGATTTTGACATATGTTAATCCCAGTTAACATCTAATTTCCTTAACTAAAAGTTGAACGGCTTAAATGCCATTTGATACAAGTTGAATGGCTAAATTGTGCTTTATCCTTATTAGAGTAAAATTTTAAATGTTGAAAACTACATCATTAGGCAAGTCAAGGACTTAACCATATAAAAAATCATGCAAGTTACCTCCCTGTATATAGCTGATTCTGCATATAGATTCTCACTAGAATTTTTGTTGTGAACTGATCAAAAGTAAAAATAAAATGTAATTTGCATAAAGTAAATATTTCCTAAATGAAAACAATATATCAGAGAAAACTCTTATTCTTTTCTCCTCTGTAGAGTTCCATTTTTTTTTTTTTTTGTATAAGATTTGATTTGCTATAATTCCATTCTTTTACTTCAGATTTGTGCTTTGGATCAAGATGTTAGGAAATTGAAGAACATGTTTAGTCAAACATACTTGAAATATTATAGAAAAATGAGTGAAATGAAGGGGGAAGAAAGTAAATTCACTAGTGTAATAAATTGATGTACTTGTCAGAAGTTGAGACATTATAAATTAAGGGGAAAATGGAGTGTTGTTTGCAATGTGAGCATTTATTTGAAGGGCATTACTGCGAGCCTCTTGTTTTTCCAGCTAGGTTCCTTGAAAGAATGGCAAAGGGGCATGATCTTAGTGAATTTATTGTAAGCAACCTCATCAAAAAATCAAACCAAGTTAAACATTGTTTTTACTGGGTTTCTCAAAACCAAGATCTAGCTTGTGTACATGGAATGTGCCTGCTCATTTTTCTTAGGATTCTGAATATGGTGCTGTATTGATTTCTTTTCGTTTTGAGATCTATATATATATATATATATATATATATATATTATATTCTCTTCATTTTTGGAATTTTCCATTGCCTAAAATAACTAATTTTGGTATTATGCATTTGTTTAGACTGGCTTTCAGAAGTTCAAGTTCTTTAATGGACTGGGTCCTGAGAAACAAATACTTCCATCTCATTTCCCTCGGAGTCGAACGTGATGGTTGGAGATTTGTCCTTCTTGCACGTTTCTCTCCCATCCCTTCCTATGTCATCAATTATGCTCTAGCTGCCACAAAAGTTGGATTTGTAGTGGATTTTCTGGTCCCTACTGTTATTGGCTGTCTCCCAATGATCTTGCAGAACACTTCCATCGGTAGCCTTGCTGGTGCTGCTGTTGCTTCAGCATCTGGCACTGAGAAATCAATGGCTTGGTCTTATATTTTGCCTTTACTTGGGATTGTATCGAGCATTCTTATTTCGTTGAAGATCAAAAAGTATTCTACTGACATTACCTTGGCCGAATCTTCTTCCGGTGGTAACATTAACAGCTGTAATAATGTTGACTCATCTCAGGCCTCTAATAGTAGAGAAGGGAGCAATGACCTGAAGAAAAGCCAATAATAGATAATATGTTTCCACCGTTTTTTATTTTTCTGGTTTGGCATCGATTTCTTCCCTTCAAGTCTTTGGCATCATTAGTTCACAACCTTGGCTAGGTGATTTCTAGTTATAATTGTATGATATCTCCGTTAAGGTTCTGACTCGACCTACATTTTAATCTTTTTTTTCCTTGAAAGACTCTGTTGAACTAACAGGTTTTCAGAAACTTGATAAAAGATTCAGCAGTTTGGGAAATGAAAATGTGTGACGTTGATGATGAAATAATAATGTTTAAATCATTTCAAGTTTCAATATATCTAGACTCAGATCTATGCCTCAAGGTAGGGTATTTATGAATATTTTGAAAATTAAAAAACAAAAAAAATGAAGAAAAAAGTTTTTTTAACACTTAATCCGCAACAGGATTGTTAAATCTGATCGTAATTATTCGTTGAATAATTGTTTTTCACAAATTTTGTGTATATATATATATATATATATATATTATAAGTGAAAAAAAAATAAAAAAAGAATCCGTCGTTGACTATGTTTATACATATTCGAGATTTGGTGTCTACCACGACTGTATCCTCTTGATGCACTAAGTCCACTGCGTAGTATAATAAGTAATTATTTCAAGGGTTTTGTCTTTGTAACATGCAGCCTAACTTTTTTTTTTTTTTCACTAGCTCCCTTTTTTCTATCAGCTTAGTAATCATAGAGTCCCATGAGTTAGAAGTCAAGTCTTTGGCTTGTTTTTTACAATTGGATTTAATCGGTATGCTAGAGACTAGACTTAAATATCAAAATATGGAGAAAATCTTGGCTAGTTGTTTTGAAGGCTGGAACTCCCTTCATAACTATGACCAAGCTATTAATGGTAGAATCCTATTTTTATGGAAAGATGGCTTTACTTTGGACCTTCTGCATCTCTGACCAAGCTATTATCTGTAAAGTTTCTTTTGGTATTGATAGTTTCTATCCCTGAATTGTTTATGTCAACGATGATGCAGTGAAAAGAAATAATTTAGGTCATGTATGATATATACGATAATGGATAAGATATTATGATAATAATATTATATTATGTTTGATTTATATATAAAGAAAGAGATATGATTGTAAGAAAGATTGATTATTTTTTTGGGATAAGATGCTTTAATTTTCTCAATATGAAAAAGATTATTTTTAATCAATGAGATTAAATTTATATATTTTATTATATGTTTATAAATTACATTAATAATTTAAATTATATAAAATTTAAGAAATGATAATTTTGATTAATAAATAAATTATCTTACCATAATTCTCGTATATATTAAACAGAAGATAATATAATATTATTTAATTTAATATTAATCATAATATATTTTTATCATATTTTATCATAATCTCATACATTAAACATAGAATCAAATAATTTCTTTTCACTCCACCTACTTTGATTGTCCTTGGCTGTAAGTCGGAGATTTTAATATAATCAAGAACGCTTCTGAAAGTTTATATTTTGATGGCTCTCAAGTCCTTTGTAAAGGTATTAAAGATTTTCAAATTTGCTTGCTCAAATCATAACTAATAGATCACCCTTGCACTGGTCCCTTATTTACTTGGAATAAAAGAAGGCCAGAGGATCCACTAAGAAGGAAGTTTGATCGAGTACTGGTTAATGATGCTTTGTTGGATTTTTTTTCCCTTCTTCATCCGTTGAATTTCTCACCCCTGGAATTTCAGATCTTTGCTCAGCTTTGATTAAATTAGAAACAAATGTTCTTTCTCCTCCCAAGGCCTTCAAGTTTTTCAACTATTGGGCTTATCATGAAGACTTTCTAGAAGTAGTAGTTAAGTCTTGGAATACCCCCAATTACATGCTATGCTCATTTTACACAAGAAACTTATGATTCTGAAACCAGAACTTAAGAAGTTAACTAAGTTGCATTTTAGCCACATTTCAGCCAGGGTCCAAGAGAAAAGACATGAACTTAATGCAATACAACTCAAGTCTCCTATCCCATGCAAACTCTGAGGAATTAGTTGTTGAGGAGAAGAAACTTTCTGCTCAATTGCTCTCTGTTAGCAACTGAGGAAAGTTTTTACAAACAGAAGTCCAGAATTCAATGGATTAAGGACGGTGACCAAAACACATCCTATTTCCACAAAATTGTTAAGGCCAAAAAAGTTTGCAATAGTATCAAATGTATTCTCGATGCTTTCGGTAACAAATTGATGTCTCAAGAGGAGGTATCTGTTGAGATTATTCCTTTGTTTACCAATTTACTTGGGAAGGTTGATAATTAGATGGTTGGCTGCTCGGTTGATGAGGCAAAAACTATTTTACAGATTTTTTTCTCTAATGAGTTTAAAACCTTGTTACAGGCTCTTATCACTCAAGAAGAAGTGAAAGCAACTCTCTTGTCAATTAATAGCAACAAAGCACCAGGGCTAGATGGATACTCATCTCAATTTTTCAAAGCAGAGTGGTCTATAGTTGGTGATGATGTCTTGAAAGTTATTATGGCTTACTTCCAATAAGGTCAGATGTTCAAAGCAATAAATTCTACTATTATTAAACTGCTGCCTAGGATTTTGAATTCTACTTCTGCTTTGGATTTTAGGCCTATCTCTTGTTGTTCCTCCATTTACAAATGCATCACTAAGATCATTGCAAACAGACTTAAAAAGAAAGGTTTGTCCCCTCGATGCACCTTGAACATAGATATCCAAAAAGCCTTTGATTCAGTTAGCTGGAAATTCTTGTTTACTGTTTCTATAGGCTGTAGGAACCCCTACTTTCTTTTGTGGATAAAAGGTTTTGTAACTTCTCCTATGTTTTCCATTTCAGTAAATGGTGGTCTGGTTGGTTATTTTCCTGGAGCCAAGGGAATCAAACAAGGTGATCCACTCTCTCCCTATCTTATTTGTGATTGTGATTGATTTTCATTCTCGTATGCTAAAAAATGTTGCTAAGGAAGGAAAGCTGAAATTTCACCCAAAATACAAAAGAGTTGGACTCACCCAACTTTGTTTTGCTGACGATCCTATGATATTTTCCGGTGGCTCTGTAGATTTTTTTTTTTTTTTTTTAATTTGGAAGTATTACAGCAGTTTTATACTCTTTTTGGGCTCCAATTGAACAAAAGCAAATGTGATATATTTTACTCTGTATCAATCGACAAGATAAAACTCTTATCCAATCCACCACTGGTTTTCACATTGGAAATGTGCTAATTAGATATTTGGAAGTGTCTTTGGTTATAAGGAGGCATTTAAGAAAAAGACTGATATCCTTTGGTAGAAAAAATAACCAGGAGGATTGATGGTTGGGGTCTAGGCATTTATCATTTGCTGGTCGATTGAATCTGATAAAATTGGTTTTTTTCCGCTTGCAAAATTTTTGGTGTGATATTTTTCTGCCAAAAAGGGTTCTTAATAAAGTTTCTCAATTGTGTTCAGCCTTCTTTTGGAAAGGAAAGAGTGGGGATCCTAAGGGTGCAATAATCAACTGTGCCTTCATTTGTCGTCCTAAAGTTGAAAGGGGATTGGGACTCTAAGATATACCAGCTTTCTGCCTGCATTCTAAAGCACATCTGGATGTTATTTACTCGAGAAGGTTCCATATGGGTTGCTTGGGTTGAGGTCCATGTGCTGAAGAATGTTAGTTTTTGAGATATCCAATATTCATCAAGCAACAGTTGGGCATGGGAAAAGCTGCTTAAACTTAGGCAGTTAGCTTCCTACTTGATTGATTTCACTTCTGTAGCTAATCCCTCTCCAGAGCCAAGGTGATTGGTAACAAAATCTGGTATGTATAATGCCGCAGAAATTTGTAATGCCGTTCGAGATAAGCAGCCGCGAGTGGACTGGCATAATGTGATTTGGTTTCAGCATAATATCCCCAAGCATGGACTGATTTCTTGGATGGCTATCCTAAATAAGTTTTCCACTCTTCTCAAACTTTCCTCTTAACATTTTCTTCTGACAAATTGCATGTGCATCTTTTGTAAAACAAACTGACGAGGACAGAGATCATTCATATATCTCTTGCTCGGATAATAAGCTAGTATGAGTAAGGTGTTGTATTGTTCTGGTTTTCAAAGGGATGTAGGTGACTGGTGATGTGAACTTTGTTGGATAAAGTCATTGAAGGGAAATCTCCGCCGGTGGTAACCCTTAAACTAGCTTGGAATGCATGTATCTATTTCATTTGGATGGAAAGGAACAATAGAAAGTTTGGAGGGAAAGTATGTGAAGCTGAGGAAATTTTTAACCGTGTATAGTTGATTCTATAAGGTTTAGATTGCAAGGTTTTTAACAGGCAACGAAGGACAAACAGTTTCTTCTTTGTCAGAACTGGAAACTCCTTGATTGTTTGTAAATTTTAGTTTACAGTGCATATGCTTCTATTTGTATAGTTTTGTTAGTGTTGTACAGTAGCAGGTTCTATCCCTGTTTTTTTGGATAAATAAGCATATGCCATTCGTCCAAAAAAAAATCCTATGGTTTTAATTAATAATTTGGTATAGACCACATGATTTAATAACAAATAAATGTAAAAGTAATAATAAGTATATTATTTATAAATTAAAAGTTTTAATCAAATAATAAAACATGTAGTGGTAATATAAGTGACAATGCCACTTTGTGTTATCTATAATGACAAAATCAATAAATTGATAAGAAATATGTTAATGTTAGCATAAAATAGTAATACTACTTTGAAGTTATCTATACTAATAAAATAAGTAACGTCATAACAAATTTGTGTAAAAGTTAATGCAAAATAGCAATACTACTTTTAAATTATTTCGATATGTAAATAAATATTTGATAACAAAAACTTGAAAGAATAACAATAAATTGTAATTTCTTTTACATTATTCAGGATAACAAGAATTGTAATTCAATAAGAATAAATGTGATGGCATCATTTTTCTTACCTATGATGATAAATTGAGTGACTTTATAACAATAACAATTTATGAGATATGATAGAATACATTTGCTTCACAAAGATGCAACTTTAACCTTTTTTAAAAAAAAAAAATTACATGTTTTTAAATTATTTAAACACAAACTATATTGACTAATTTGTATTAAATGTATTATTAAAATTTTATGAAAATTATAAATTCATTAACATATTATTTTAATGTATTATTAAATTGACAATTAATGATGTAAAATTTTATCATTACATTTTTCTATTATATACTGATATATCAAATATTTTAAATATAAATTTTTATAACACTTTTTGATATCTTTAAATTAACATTTAAAATTATTTTTTCATAATGTACACTATATAATTAAGTCAAAATTTTGTTT